TTTCTGTCGCTCTAAAACCTTTATTAACTTTTCTGGATTCGCTATCACTCTCCACCAGTAATTTGTTCCCTCCTCCTCTGCCTTGTTCAAGTTCCTAAACCCTCTACTCTCAACTTCAATTTCATTGGAAATTTCATCAGATTAAATGTGGTCATTCAGGTAGAGCAGTTACCATAGTGCCTGGCACATAGAGGGTTCTAAATAAAACACATACTGTTATGACTGTTAATATTGAATGAATGCCATAATGTGTTGGATTAAAAGCTCGGGCTTTGGAGTCAGACAAACCTAAGTTTGAATCCTGATACTGCCGTCTACTAGCTAATGAGCAAGTTGCTAAACCTCTCTGAGTCTCGGTTTTCTCATCTTGAAAATGGAAACAATAATATTACTACTTTAAAGGGATTTAGTGATAATTAAGTAAAAGTACTTATGTGAAACCATGAGAAGAGTATGTCACATGAGTACAGCGTTAAGCCACCAGGATTATTATTGCTGTTATTACTGTTAATACATCCACTTATTACTCTTTTTTTTCTTTTTTTTTTTTTTTTTGAGAAAATCATCATCTCCCTTGTGAGAGACCACAGTTTTTAATGTCCTCACCTCCTCGGTATATTTCCATTTCTTCACAACTTCTTATTCTTTTTTTTTTTTAAGATTTATTTTATTTATTTATTTATTGGCTGCGTTGGGTCTTTGTTGCTGAGCACAGGCTTTCTCTAGTTGTGGCGAGTGGGGGCTACTCTTCGTCGCAGTGCGCGGTCTTCTCATTGTGGTGGCTTCTCTTGTTGCGGAGCACCGGCTCTAGGCGCGCGGGCTCAGTAGTTGTGGCTCGTGGGCTCTAGAGCGCAGGCTCAGTAGTTGTGGCGCACGGGCTTAGTTGCTCCGCGGCATGTGGGATCTTCCTGGCCCAGGGCTTGAACCCGTGTCCCCTGCATTGGCAGGTGGATTCTTAACCACTGTGCCACCAGGGAAGTCTTTTTTTTTTTTTTTTTTTTGGCTGAGAGGCTTGTGGGATCCTATTTCCCCAACCAGGGATTGAACCCATGCCCTCGGCAGCGAAAGTGGGGAGTCCCAACCACGGACCACCAGGGAATTCCTGACAACCTCTTATTCTTTACAATAAATATTTGAGTACACCACTGTCTGCTGGGCACTGTTTTACGTGCTGGGATACTGGAGCCTTGGAGGAAGAAACCTCTCTTCTCTAAGGTCAATTCCTCTATCTGCATCTTAGATCCTTGTCCTTCCCAATCACCAAGGGATTTTTCTTGCAACCTTTCTGCCTCCCTCTTCTAGTATCTTAAACGTCCCCCTCTTCGTTGGCTCCTTCTCCTTTGCTTTAAAGAGGCTTCATGTTTTGTCAAGAATTTCTGTTCAACCCTTCTAACTAATTTAATTAAAATTGTATTTTTTTCCTTTTTATTTCCAAACTTCTTCAATATGTGGTCTCTCGTCTCCATTTACTCAGGATATCATCTCTCCTCAATTCCCTGTAACCTTGTTGCTACCCTCTTACTGACCACTTATCAAAACCACTTATTTTGTGGTCTCCAGTGAATTCCTTGACACATCCAAGAAAGTCTCTCAATCTTCATTTTCCGTGTCCTGTTTTCAGCATTTGACACTGCTAACTCTCACCTCCATATTAATTCTTCATTTTTCATTTTCATTGATTGCAAACATTTTCAAATGTAGGAAAGTACATGGAATAACATAACCAGTATATGTACCCTCCACCCAGTTCTATCAAATCTGACCAGATCCACTTTCAGATTGTGTTTAAAGAAATAAATATTTCAGATATAGTTATTTCTTCTATGCCCCTCCCCAGTCTCAATCCTCTCCTTCTCTTGAATTTGGTGATGATCCTGCCCTTTCATGTTTTATATATTATTACTATTGTATGTATGTAGCCATAAGCAACAGGTAATATTTTCAGACTTTATATACTGTACATGTTTTGTAATTTTCTCTTTATGCTCAACATTATAATTTTGAGATTTTACTCTGTTCGTACATGTAGCTTGAGCTATTCATTTTAATTTCAAAATAGTATTCAACTTCATGAATACCATGATTTATTTATTCATTCACCTATTGATGGACATTTAATTTGCTTCCTTTTTTATTTTTTGAGATTACCAATCATGCTGCAATGAGCATTCTTTTACATGTCTCCTTGGGCACAAAGGTTAGAATTTTGCCCAGGTCTGTACCTAGAAATGGAATTTCTGGGTTGAAGGGTATTACCTATACAACTTTATTATACAATGTCAAATGGCTCTTCATAGCAGTTCTACCAACCTATACTCCTTATAGCAGTGATCAGAGTTCTATCTGTTCTACATTCTCAACAGCAGTTGGTATTGCCTGAATTTTTACATTTTTGTCAAAGCAATGATTGTTTCATAGTACCTCATGGCTTGAATTTTTTAAAATTTTTACTGGGGTATAATTGATTTACAATGTTGTGTTAGTTTCAGGTGTAGAGCAAAGTGAATCTATTATACAAGTACATAAATCCACTCTTTTTTTAGATTCTTTTCCCATATAGGCCATTACAGGGTATTGAGTAGAGTGCCCTGTGCTATACAGTAGGTCCTTTTTAGTTATCTTTTTCATATATAGTAGTGTGTATGTGTCAATCCCAATCTTCCAATTTATCCCTCCTCCCTTTACCCACTGGTAACCACAAGTTTATTTTCTACATCTGTAACTCTATTTCGGTTTTGTAGATAAGTTCATTTGTAGCCTTTCTTTAGATTCCACATATAAGTGATATCATATGATATTTGTCTTTCTCTGTGTGACTTACTTCACTCAGTATGAGTATCTCTAGGTCCATCCATGTTGCTGCAATAGCTTGAATTTTTAATTTCCCTGAGTAGTAATGAGGTGAAGCATCCTTTCATGTCCTTTTGGCCCATTTGGATTTCCTTGACCATGAATTGCTTATTCATATATCTTGTCAGTTTTTCTGCTAGGTTTCTTTCCTATTTTTCTCACTGATTTGTAGGGGTTCTTATACATTCTAGATACGAATTCATTCATTCATTTAATCATGGGACTTCCCTGGTGGTCCAGTGGTTAAGACTTCACCTTCCAATGCAGGGGGTGCGGGTTCGAGCCCTGGTCAGGGAACTAGGATCCCACATGCCTTGCAGCCAAAAAAATCAAAACATTTAATCAATATTTTTCTAGCATCTACTTTGTTCCAGGAATGGTTCTAGGCACTGGGAATGCAGGAATAATCCAAACAGATAAAAATCCCTGCCCTCATGGAACTTACATTCTAGTAGGGGAAGCTAAACAATAAACACAATTGATAAGTAAAATAGATAGAATAATGGATAATGATAAATCCTCTGGAGAAAAAATTAATAGGGAAGAGGGATAGGGAGCATGTGTGTATGGGAGTGGGAAAGGAAATTGTTGAACTGCAATTTTAAGTAAAGTTCTCTAGGAAGACCTCACTGAGAAAGTGAGTTTTGAGCAAAGACCTGAGAAGGTAAGAGTGCAGGCAGAGTGAACAGCAAGTGCAAAGGCCCTGAGGCAAGAGTGTGCCTGGCAAGTCCTAGGAATAGCATGGAGCAGTGTTTGATTAAGCAGAGTGAGTTGGAGAGAGTGGTGGGAGAGGAAGTCAGAGAGGTGATGACAGCTAGAGTGTAGAACCTCATAGATTATCCTTTGTTAGTTATATGCATTGAAAACATATTTTCCCAGTCTGTGGCTTGTCTTTTAAGTTGTTTATGTTATCTCGAAATGCATACATTTTGAAATTTAATGTAGTTAAATGTGTCAATCAATTCCTTTATTTGTGCTTTTTAGTGTCTTAAGTAATCATTCTCGTTCCCTATTCCAAGGTCATAATGATATTCTATTTTCTTCTGAAAGTTGTAAAGATTTGCTTTTCACATTTAGATCTTTATTCCACCAGATATTGATTTTTTTTTCTCTGTGGTGTGAGATAGGGATCTAATTTTATAATTTTCCATGTCCATTATCAATAGTTCCAGCACCATTTAGTGGATAATCCATTTTCTCTCACTGATTTGAAATGTCAAATATGCTGCATAACAACTTTCCATATATGTGTAGATCTGTTTTGGGACTCTGTATTTGGTTCCATTCGTCTGTCTACCTCCATACCACACTGTCTTAATTACTATCGGTTTAAATCAGTCTTGAAATATAGGTCATGGTAGATTCTTGAGCAAATGAATAACACAATTGAAACATTACTCTGGGAAGAATATTCTTATGACTGTCAACAGAGTAAAATGGTCAAAGGTGATATCACAAGGGCTTACGCTAAAGTGATGGCAGTTTGAATGGTGAGAAAACAAGGAACCTAAAAGTAATTCCAAAGAACATATTAACAAGATTTGTTGGCTGATTGGCTACAGAGCAATTAGGAGAGAGGAAGCAAGCACATGGCTTTGAAATTTCAAGCCTGGGTCACTGTGTGAAATAAAGATGAGTTAGTTTTGTCATCCAATGCTTTGGTAACAATGGGTTATATTAGGCAAGGGATCTGGGCCAGAGATATATATTTGGTCTTTGCCTGCTTAGAGGTGACCTAGAGGGGGACCAAAGAAAGCAAAGGTCTGAGCTTTGGGGATTTTCCCTAGTTAGGTGGTGGAAGGAAGAAGTAGGGGGGAGACATCTGAGAGGTATGGTAATCAGTACGGTGCATTCTATTAACCATAACAAGGATTTTTTGAATGGATGACGTAGGTCCTAGTAGCCCCAACACCTTTGAGTTCCCTTATTGGTATGACTGTGCTTTGGTTCTATGGCAATCTTCAAAGTCACCAGAACAAGTCTGTTGTCACAGGCAGCATTGAAAGCGTATCCCTTGCTGGATGTGGGGAAGACGCCCCCGGTCCGACGGGTCTCTCCCTGCAGTTCCGCAGGTTGGCCGCAGGGGGCGGAATCTGCGGCGGCCTGGAAAACTGGCGGGGGCGGGAGGCGCCGCTCTCTCTCGGGTCAGGCTCCCGGCTCCCGGCTGCCCGCGCCCGGCACCCCGTGCCCGGCACGGAGCCGTTTCTCTAAGGACGTGCAGCCGAGGCGAGGGGGTGTGAGGACGCGGGAGGCAGTGTCGTCGGATCCGCCCGCAGTCCGCAGCCCCGCCGAGCCTGGAAGCTGCCGGGATGGAGCCGCCGCTCCCGCTTGGAGTCCAGCCCCTTGCCGTATCCGCCTGAGAGAAGGGGGGAGGGGAGGCCGCGCGGGGCGGAGGCGGGGGTCCGCGGGACTGCGGATCGCAGCAGAGGGGCGGCTAGGGGCCGGTCAGGACCCGAGGCCGAGCCGAGCGGGGGAGGGGGGCCAGCGCGGGAGGCGCTGTCTCCGACCCTGGGGAGGGAGGGTGGGCTGAGGGGCGGGAGCTTCCCTCCACCCCACACCGCGGGTCCCCTTCCGGGCAGCGCTTCTGGAAGAGACCCTTGACTAGCGCCTGCATACTATCGAGGGTATGGAGATAAAGGGTCCTGTCCGGGAGCCCTGCGCCCTGACCCTAGTCCAGAGGAACGGGCAGTATGAGTAAGTAACCACCTGATACCCACAGAGGAGGGGAGCCTGCCATTACCTCCCAACCCCAAACCGCGACAAGCCACCCACCCTCCTCCCACTGAGGCCGCGCAGGCAACAGGTTCGGGCCCAGGTGTGACGTGCCAGTGCTCTAACCACCGAGCTTTGTCCCCAACTTCCAAGCCGGTGGATTGATTGCTCCTGTCCGTGTCGCTCAGTGGAAGGACTCAATGGGCGGGGAAGCAGGAAGCCTGGGTTCTTAGTTCCTGCCCCTGCAACTGACATGGGTTGTGTAATCCTGGGCTAGTCAGTAAAGCTTTCTGGGCCTTAGTGTCCTCATCAGTTTAATAAAAACATTAACTGCTTTAATTTATAGCCTTTGGAGTTTTAACTGGGAGAATAAATGCGAAAGTGGCTTACAAAGAGTATAAGTACTGTAGAAACGCTTCATTGTTAACCTTACAGAGGTGCCTTTTCTTAACCTCATTCAGCTGGTTCCTCCAGTCTCACCACCCCCTTATTCCATGTGCTTGGAGGCATATTCATTAATTCAGTAATGGTTTTGTGTAGGCCAGTAACTGCCTCACTTATTGACTTGACAGTTAGAAAAAGTAATGAAATATGTAGAAATGTAGACAACATTTGACGTTTCATCAGGGTGTGTTACCTTCCACTCTGCCTTGCACATAGGAGCTCAGTAAAGACTGTTGACTGATGGATCAAAAGATTTTGATAAGCCATCACTATACTGCTGATCTCCCTTGCCACTAATGCCTCATCTAAAGTATCCCTGATGACCATCACATATCATAGGTAGGTCCCTATCGCTGTGTGCCCAAGCCACCTCCCCTCGTTGTTCACTGGTTTCTTGACATCAGTGAAGAATTGTTGATCGCTGAAAATTTTTAAATTGTTGATCATTTAAATCCTGCCATCCCCCAGCATTGGATTCTGCTTAAAAACAATTTTTCTCAGTCCCTGCTTTTAGATTGTCCAGACTCAATCTTTATCTATGCTGTCCACTTTACAGAGAAGAAATTCACACTGGCCTAGCCTGCCCTTTTCTGAGGCTCTTGGTGCCACTCTCAACTGGACGTCAACTGGTTCTATGGAGGTAGCTCTTCCCTAGATCCTGCTTGGTCAGTTCTGTTGATGTGATAAATTCATTTTATTTTTCCCAGATTTCATCAAACCCTGGAAGACCAGTTTAATGAAAGTAAATTCAACAGAAAAGTGAATTGAAAAGTGGAACACCACTGCCACTTCCAAAGGCAAGAATAGAGTGGGAAGATGTAAGCCTTGGGCAAATCAGTAAATTTTTTGTGCCTCGGTTTCCTCTTCTTAAAAACAAAATTATAAGGATTAAATAAAATAGCTACATTGTTGAGATGACCACATCCCAGGATCTGGTCCCTTGGTTTGGTAGGTTTGGAACTCTATTCAGCTGATAAGGGAGTGAGCAGCTGGCCTTGAGGTAAATGCCTCATTCTGTCTGGTCTCTTGTACTGGAAGAACTTTTAACCTTGCAGTGGTAGCTCTCCTGATTATTTGTGTCCTCCCCATAGAGAAATCAAATTCTGTATTCCAGTTCTGTAAAACTTAAGGGTATAGCACAACTAACACTCAATGGCTTGATGTGTATCAGGTACTCTTCTAAGCATTTCATGAATTAGTTCATTTAACCCTCATGTGAGGGTTACTGTGAAATTGTAATATCATCATCATCATCCCCCTTTTCTAGATATAGAAATTGAGGTGCGGAGAGGTTAAGTCATTTGTCTGAGTCATTACATTGTCGGAGAAGTTTCTTTTGAAATCATTTATTGGAGACACCTGATACTGTCAAACCATATATAACCCTCAAATCCTGGTCTCTTGAGTGCCTTCTCTGACTTGAGTGTCCAGAACTTGTTTACTTTGGGCCTTTTTATCCTAGAACTTGAAGCCTATTGCATTCTTTAGTTCTGTAGTTCCTGCTATCAACCATGGGAGAAATTTACTTGAGAGACTAAAATTACAATTAAAGGTAAGGCTTTTTTGCACACAAGGAATCAAACACTAACATTCATTTTTTCAAGGCAAATGGATTATGATGCCACCTGTTGTTTCATCTTTAACCTTCCTTGAACAAATCAAAGTATTTCCTAGGGATAATGCTGGGTCTGCATTCACAATTTTTTACTCTTTTCTGTTTCCAACTACCAAATTCTGATTTCCATTTTTTTGCCATATACCTATTATTTTTCACCTTTCTGTATTGAAAGGAATGATTAGATTTAGGTAGAATTTTTATTCTTATTCTTTGCCCTACTCTCTTGTTACAATTTATTTAGTGACTAACATGTAGTAGATATTAAATAAATATTTGTGGAATTAACTTAAATTCCCAGTTTATGTTTTGTGATGGGTATTTTTTTGGGGGGTTGCATTTCTTTTTTAAATTGAGAAATAATTGATGTATAACATTGTATTAGTTTCAGGTGTACAACATAATTACTTGATATTTGTGTATATTGTGAAATGATCACCACAATAATTCTTGTTAACATTCATTACTACACATAGTCAACAATCTTTTTCTTGTGATGAGAACTTTTTTTTTAATAAATTTATTTACTTATTTTTATTTTTGACTGCATTGGATCTTCGTTGCTGCGCACGGGCTTTCTCTAGTTGCGGCGAGCAGGGGCTGCTCTTCGTTGCGGTGCACAGGCTTCTCGTTGCGGTGGCTTCTCTTGTTGCAGAGCATGGGCTCTAGGCACGCAGGCTTTAGTAGTTGTGGCACACAGGCTTAGTTGCTCCGTGGCATGTGGGATCTTCCTGGCCCAGGGCTCAAACCCGTGTTCCCTGCATTGGAAGGTGGATTCTTAACCACTGCGCCACCAGGGGAGCCCTGTTGTGATGAGAACTTTTAAGATTTAGTCTCTCTCTTTTTTTTTTTAATAGATCTTTATCGGAGTATAATTGCTTCACAATACCCTGTTAGTTTCTGTTGCACAACAAAGCGAATCAGCCATATGCATACATATGTCCCCATAGCCCCTCCCTGTTGAGCCTCTCTCCCACCCTCCCTATCCTACCACTCTAGGTCATCGCAAAGCACCGGAGCTGATATCCCTGTGCTATGCTGCTGCTTCCCACCAGCCAATTATCTTTTTTTTTTTTTTTAACATCTTTATTGGGGTATAATTGCTTTACAATGGTGTGTTAGTTTCTGCTTTATAACAAAGTGAATCAGTTATACATATACATATGTTCCCGTATCTCTTCCCTCTTGTGTCTCCCTCCCTTCCACCCTCCCTATCCCACCCCTCCAGGCGGTCACAAAGCACCGAGCTGATATCCCTGTGCTATGTGTCTGCTTCCCACTAGCTATCTACCTTACGTTTGGTAGTGTCCAGTTATCTTACATTCGGTAGTGTATGTATGTCGATGCTACTCTCACTTCGCCCTAGCTTCGCCTTCCCACCCGGTGTCCTCAAGTCCATTTTCTATGCCTGCCTCTTTATTCCTGCCCTGCAACTAGGTCCATAAGATTTATTCTCTTAAAAACTTTTAAATATACAGTACACTGTTATTAAGTATAGTCATCACGCTGTACATTACATCCCCATGACTTATCTATTTTATAACTGGAAATTTGTACCTTTTGACCCCCTTCACCCATTTCATCCCCACCACCACCACCTGCCTCTGACAACCACTAATCTGTTCTCTGTGTCTGTGAGTTTAGTATTTTGGTTTTTGTTTTTCGATTTCACACATAAGTGAGATCATATGGAATTTGTCTTTCTCTGTCTGACTTATTTCACTTAGCATAATGCCCTCAAGGTCCATCCATGTCATTGTCTGTTTTGTGATGGTTTTTAACAATACAATCCAAATGAATCTTTACTGCTGATGTTCAACACCATTTCTGTATTATGTTACTTGGGAATTATATTGGTTTGTGTTCATTTTCCTCAAAGTAAGCTCTTCCTCCTTGACCCTTGCTTTGTCAATCTTATCTACTTTCTGGTCTCCATCTGTGTTTATAGGATTCTCTGCTTGACTCACGAACTTTGCAGTTTGAAAAGGGTCTGCCCCATATTCTTGTAGTCATCTTAAAATATTAAACCCCTGCAAATTAGGCAAGCAGGATCAGAGCAGAAAGACAGCATCAATACTTTTATTTCCCTTAGTCCTGTCTAAGCAGTTCCTTTCCCCAAGTTAACTCCTTCAAAGTTAACACATTTGAAAAAAATTTCAAAAAGCTAAAACGATAAGCCTCCCCAAAAGACAACAAAATGGAAATCAAACCTTTCAGAACAATGACTTCTAATATCACATGTTGAAAAGGTGTATTTAGAAATTCACCTCTGTTTGTAGCTTAATTAAATGTTTGTTTATTCAACCAATATTTATTGAGCATCTATTAGGTAGGTGACAAAACTGAATATGATAGGGTCTTTGCTTTCAAGGAGCTCAAATCTGAGGGAAATAAATGTAACTATAACAGAGTGTGTTAAGTGCTCTATTTGAGGGGCAGGCAAAGGGCATGAGGCCAAGTTTCACAGAGGAGGTGATAGTTGAGCTAGGTCTCAGGAACAAAAGAAGAGAGTTCCTGGCAAAAAGAACCGCTTGAAGAGTGATTTGGGGGGAAGGTAGGAGATGTTCAGAATGGCCATTTACCAGTAGGTTATACCTTGACTGTGGGCCACTAAGAATAAGTAGTAAATGAAAATTAGTATTTCAGGAGTACATAGGAATTTAGAAATCTTGCATTTCATACTGGGGGGGGCCAAGTTCAGTCATGCTTACCAGAAGTACTATCATGAAATTAGAAACCATGGTAAAAACACAAGGGATGTAAAGGCAATCTGGTTGTGATATCTGCTACTTTATTGGTCACTGGGATTATTTTGACTGATTCAGCTGGCTGGGCACCTCCTCTTACTTCTCCATGAACCTGTATATTTGTTTGAAGAGATAGAATCATTCTTTGGTAAAAGCCATGAGAACATAACCAGAAAGCTAATTGATGAAATTTATAATACATTTATTCAACAAACTTGAGTGACTACTATGTGCCAGGTACTGTACTAGGTGCTAGAAATACTATGGTGAAAAGACAGCCATAGTCCCTGCCCTCATGGACTTCACACCTAGCTATTAGTTCTTCTCTCTGGTATGCGTAATCTGAAGGTGTGTGCACTGTAATTCATGCTCTTAAGTTTGTAAACTGTTTTTAGGACATAGACTACTTTATGTTCTCTATGGCATAGAACTGTGGGTATTCAGATACTGATCACCACTAATATGCTTTTAGACCTAAAGCAATATCATCATGATACTCAGATCCAGGGAACAAGATACAGCAAGTCTAATAAATACAGACTAGATTTGTATAACAACACAGCAATGTATTTTGTCGTTAAATGTTTGAGTTTTTCAGTAGCTATTCGTTGATGCATTCTTCTGTTTCCTAGGCTAATAATCCGGTTGCACAAGAAGGAACAGCATGTTCAAGATATCATTCCTATAAATAGCCACTTTAGATGTGTTCAAGGTACTAGCTTTAATTGCTTAGCTAGTTTTATAATGTTTTTCCTTGGTCATTATTGCTTTGTATAATACCATACATATTTAAATTTGTCACTGCACATAAAATGAAATGTATTACACTCTGTGCAAAAAGATAACATTACTCATCTACCATTGAGAAGATGATAAATGCTTTGTTTAAGAACCCTGAAGGATTATATTGAAATATATATATTCTTACCTGCTACCCTGGCTGGGGTTAGAGATGTATGTAGTCTGTTACCTATGTAGGTAGTCTTTTATGCTGATGAACCTATATATGGATTTAAATCACATTCTTGGGTTTAACTGATACACTGCTCATTGTAAAGTATCAAGGTCACTTGAATTCACATGCGTTCAGCACTTTCTCCCCACACTATTTGAAATTAAAACATTTGGCAACAAGCCTTGCCAGATTGTAATACCTTACACTCAACTGTGCTGATTCTCAAACCTTTGCATTGGTGAATCATAAGAAAATCGACTCTGGGGAGGAAATATTTGGCTTCCTGCCTTCGAATTTGGGGAAAGAGAACAGAAAATCTGTTGTTTCATCTGCTACAATGAGACTCAAAAATTGGGAGGTTTGTGTAGGAGGTGTTGCTTCTGTCATTTCACATCGCTCTAGAAAGGAAATAGATTATTAGAGAACAAATGCATTGTGTTTCCAGTGGGTTCATTGGCTTCATCAGACAGGCATTCTGTGTCAGCTGTAGCTTCTTGGAAAACTTGAATCCTACCTTGCATGGCTTCTTTCTTAAACTACATTCAACTTTTTTTTATCACAAAACTAATATATATATATATATATATACTTTAAAAAGTTTGGAAAGAACAGAAAATTATAAAGGAAATAAGTAAATTCACATCCTTCAGAGATAAACACCTAACATTTTCCTTTTTTCTACACCTGCAACTTTTAGGGTGGGTTGGACTCATTCTGTATGTAGATTTTTGTCTGTTCCACATGCCATCATATTATAAGTGCTTTTACATGCTATTAATAACTGTATACTATTCCATTTTATGAATGGCCTATACTGTAGTTATTCTCGGTGTTTGACATTCAGGTTATTTTTTGTTAGTATAAATAAGTAATGAATCTTCCTGCATGTCTCTTATTTCCTTAGGATTTATCTCTGTAAGTAGAAACACTAAGTGGGCATGACCTTTTAAGAGAGCATGTATTAAGAATTAAAAATACCCACAGTGAATAGAATCCACCTTGTATAGAAGAATTAAGTCTTTTATTTAGCCATTTAGCCTGCCCTGTGTGAGAGAGACATATTGAACGAGGCACCTGCATGCTATAGTAAGTTACTGTGGTCACCTCACTTTTCATAGTGTAGTACCCTTTGTTACATGCTCAGCCCTTTAAGGAGGAGAAAAGCCAAAGAACGTGACGTTAGTATCCTATTAACTCTATACCTTTTTGTGCTATCAGTACTTCTAGAGTCTTGTTTACCCTGTTTCTCTTAGTCTTATTTTTAATAAGAAATAGATGGCAGGTTGCTAGATTGGAATCTAGGAAAATATGTGTGCACACACACAGTAGTTCCCCATGACAAAAGGAACGGTTACCTCCTTGAGTTTTCACATCCTTTGTTTCCCAACCTGTACATCTATTTTGAAAAGTCTCTAAGTACTTCGATTTTAAAGAATTAAAGTTACCAAAGAGCAGTTGTGAACATGTAATACCTATGCCCTGATGCACTGTTGTCCCTTGCTTCATTCATCATGCTAGTAAAAGTATCAAGACTATTCTCTAATATTAGACAACTTAGGTAATTATCAGTTGCTTCTGTTGCACCTGAGTAATGGAGCCAAATATACAATCTAGGCTAGTGAGGGAACTAGGAAAGGCTGAGCCTACTACATTTGGCCAAGGTAGATCCAAACGAATCCCAAGGAGTCAGTACCCAGAGTTTAACTAGCCAGGAGGGTCGGGCAGATGCCGTTGGCCAAATCCAGGGAAGTCAGAGAGGAAGAGATGGGTTGGGTCTAGACACTAGAGGTAAGGAAGGAAGTCCAGGTGAGCCATAGAGAGGAAAGAGGACTCTGAACTTGGAGACTGTTTTTTGGCCCATTTTATACTTCCCGTGTTGGGTGTGGTAAGCCTTGGATCTACAAGTGTTAATGGTAGACTGAAGATAAAGAACTCCAAGTATTCTCCGCTCCTGTATGGGACAGGGGTGGAGGTAATGAGGTCCCTGGGAAATTTTCAGAGACTAGATTTGAAATTTTCAGAGACTAGATTTGAGTCTCTAGGGGCCTTTAGGCCTTTGGGGTCACTTTCTCGGCTTTTTATAAGAATTATCTAAGTGATACAGTTAGATTATATTAAGTTAGTGTGTTATAGTTGAGGGGAATTAAACACCTTCACTTGGATTAACATGTTATATTCCCTGCTATTGTCATTGCTTGATTTGCTTTGAGGCATTCCATGTGGTTACTTGTTCAGTTAATTTTTCTTTTAGTTGAATTGCTCATAGTCTTTAGAACGTAGTGCTGTTAAAATCCCCTTTAAAAATGCTAAACAAAAAAGCAAAGGATTTTTTTAATGTGTTCTAAAACCTAGGAGTGGTGATTGAGAGAAGTAGTTATTTAGTTAGGTGTATACCTCTTTTGGTTGAAATGAATGGTTTTCTCTTCCCTGATTCTGTTCTTTCTTCTTTTCCTTCAGAAGCAGAAGAAACTCTTTTGATTGACATAGCTTCAAACAGTGAGTATCTTTCTGAATGGAGTTGATTTTCATTCAACAAATATTTACTTGAATACCTACTGTATTTAAGACACCTTTTTTGTACAACTTTTATCTTACCATTTTATCCTGTATTCTCCATTTTCTTAAGGCAGCCATACAAATTAGCATTACCTCCCAAAAACATTTAGCCTAAGCTTAAATAAAAGCAGGTGGCTGGCAAGAATCTTTAAAAAGTTGAAAATATGATCTGCTTTTCTAATGCTGAACTTCTTTGAACTACCAGTATTGTTGCTATCAGTTAAGTCATTGCTGTGGAACTGAAAATTGTAGGAGGGGCCAGAAAGTGTTTAAAGCACATAAGGTTTATGAGTGTTTTTTTCAACTGCTGTTATGTTTTAAGCTTTTCTCCCCCAATCCATTTTTTATTTTTGCATGTTAAATCATAATGTTTTCCGTTGTTATATTATTTGGGGAGACTACATAGTCCCTCTTGTACCAGGGATACCTTTTTTTTTTCTTAAAATAATTTTGGTCTTTTATTTAAGCCCATCCTCTCAAGGCATTTCTTTATCAGCGAGAACATGGTCTTCCTTCTCACTGTTTCTGTTCTCTCATTTTTATCTGTTTGAAGCAAATCATCACTGACTTTCTGTGCAAGCTGTTCTCCATTTATCATCTAAAATTGTACTCTGTTAACATAGGGAGGAGAAAATGGGCACTTGAAAGCTACTGTATCTACTCTGTGTTTGCTGTGGGAAAGAGTATATGACCACATGAATCTAAATCAAATGGGTTACCTTATCTCTTGGCTGAGTCCTTGGATGAGTGGGGCTTGGCCCTTAGCTTGGGACTATCAGTTTATACATAATTTTGCTTAGACACAGTCCCTGTCCTTGGCACTATTATTTTGTATTGCAAAGTTTAGATAGACTTTTTCTGGTTTGGGTTTATTAATTCTTTCTTTTGGTCATAGATTTTGGAAGTCTTAAGGGTTGATCCTGAAAGGCTGAGCACTTCCAGCTTCTAGCTTCTACTGCAGGTATCCAAGAGAGCAAATAACTTAATAGCTATGTCTTATTGTACAGAAAAAGCAGAAGGCAAGAACAGCACTAATGAAGCAAAATTTGAGCAAAGTTTGTTCAGCAGTGACTGACATTGCTGCTGAAATCTGCTGAAATTAGATACCTAAATGTCCTGTTCTTAGTGTGGAAATAGGTATTTGATCCAAAGCTGAAAAGTTAAACTGAGCTGTGCCTTTACAGGTAATACATCCTCATTATGTACAATTAGGAAAATTCAGAAAAGTTTGGAGTATCAAATTAAAATTATGCTCCTGAGACTTAGAGATAACCATTGTAATTAACATTTTTATGTATCTCCTTCCAGTCTTTTATTTATATTTTTACATAGTTGGAATCCTCATATGTAGTTTTTATCCTGCATTTTCATTTAACAGTATATTGTGACCTTTTCCCATGTCATTTAAAATTATTTAAAAACATGATTTTTTTTCTTTTTTTTTAGTATTAGTTATTTTATTTGTTTGTTTGGTTTTTTATACTGCAGGTTCTTATTAGTCATCAATTTTATACACATCAGTGTACACATGTCAAGCCCAATCGCCCAATTCAGCACACCACCATCCCCACCCCACCGCGGTTTTCCCCCGTTGGTGTCCATACGTCCATTCTCTACATCTGTATCTCAACTTCTGCCTTGCAAATCGATTCATCTGTACCATGTTTCTAGGTTCCACATACATGCATTAATATACGATATTTGTTTTTCGCTTTCTGACTTACTTCACTCTGTATGACAGTCTCTAGATCCGTCCACGTCTCAACAAATGACTCAATTTTGTTCCTTTTTATGGCTGAGTAATAGTCCATTGTATATATGTACCACATCTTCTTTATCCATTCCTCTGTCGATGGGCATTTAGGTTGCTTCCATGACCTGGCTATTGTAAATAGTGCTGCAATGAACATTGCGGTGCATGTGTCTTTTTGAATTATGGTTTTCTCTGGGTATATGCCCAGTAGTGGGATTGCTGGATCATATGGTCATTCTATTTTTAGTTTTTTAAGGAACCTCCATACTGTTCTCCATAGTGGCTGTATCAATTTACATTCCCACCAACAGTGCAAGAGGGTTCCCTTTTTTCCGCACCCTCTCCAGCATTTGTTGTTTGTAGATTTTCTGATGATGCCCATTCTAACTGGTGTGAGGTGATACCTCATTGTAGCTTTGATTTGCATTTCTCTAATAATTAGTGATGTTGAACAGCTTTTCATGTGCTTCTTGGCCATCTGTATGTCTTCTTTGGAGAAATGTCTATTTAGGTCTTCTGCCCATTTTGGATTGGGTTGTTTGTTTCTTTACTATTGAACTGCATTAGCTGTTTATATATTTTGGAGATTAATCCTTTGTCCATTGATTCGTTTGCAAATATTTTCTCCCATTCTGAGGGTTGTCTTTTAGTCTTGTTTATGGTTTCCTTTGCTGTGCAAAAGCTTTGAAGTTTCATTAGGTCCCATTTATTTATTTTTGTTTTTATTTCCATTACTCTAGGAGGTGGATCAAAAAAGATGTTGCTGTGATTTATGTCAAAGAGTGTTCTTCCTCTGTTTTCCTCTAAGAGTTTTATAGTGTCTGGTCTTACATTTAGGTCTCTAATCCATTTTGAGTTTATTTTTGTGTATGGTGTTAGGGAGTGTTATAATTTCATTCTTCTACATGTAGCTGTCGTGTTTTCCCAGCACCACTTAGTGAAGAGACTGTCTTTTCTCCATTGTATATCCTTGCCTCCTTTGTCATAGATTAGTTGACCATAGGTGTGTGGATTTATCTCTGGGATTTCTATCCTGTTCCATTGATCTGTATGTCTGTTTTTGTGCCAGTACCATATTGTCTTGATTACTGTAGCTTTGTAGTATAGTCTGAAGTCAGGGAGTCTGATTCCTCCAGCTCCATTTTTTTCCCTCAAGACTACTTTTGCTATTCAGGGTCTTTTGTGTCTCCATACAAATTTTAAAAGGATTTGTTCTAGTTCCGTAAAAAATGCCATTGGTAATTTGATAGGGATTGCATTGAATCTGTAGATTCCTTTGGGTAGTATAGCCATTTTCACACTATTGATTCTTCCAATCCAAGAACATGGTATATCTCTCCATCTGTTGGTATCATCTTTAAGTTCTTTCATCAGTGTCTTATAGTTTTCTGCATACAGGTCTTTTGTCTCCCTAGGTAGGTTTATTCCTAGGTATTTTATTCTTTTTGTTGCAATGGTAAATAGGAGTGTTGCCATAATTTCTCTTTCAGATTTTTCATCATTAGTGTATAGGAATGCAAGAGATTTCTGTGCATTAATTTTGTATCCTGCAACTTTACCAAATTCATTGATTAGCTCTAGTAGTTTTCTGGTGGCATTTTTAGGATTCTCTATGTATAGTATCATGTCATCTGCAACCAGTGACAGTTTTACTTCTTTTCCAATTTGTATTCCTTTTATTTCTTTTTCTTCTCTGATTGCCGTGGCTAGGACTTCCAAAACTATGTTGAATAATAGTGGTGAGAGTGGACATCCTTGTCTCGTTCCTGATCTTAGAGGAAATGCTTTCAGTTTTTCACCATTGAGAATGATGTTTGCTGTGGGTTTGTCGTATATGGGCTTTATTATGTTGAGGTAGGTTCCCTCTATGCCCACTTTCTGGAGAGTTTTTATCATAAATGGGTGTTGAATTTTGTCAAAAGCTTTTCCTGCATCTATTGAGATGATCATGGTCTTTATTCTTCAGTTTGTTAATATGGTGTATCACATTGATTGATTTGCATATATTGAAGAATCCTTGCATCCCTGGGATAAATCCCACTTGATCGTGGTGTATGATCCTTTTAAAGTGTTGTTGGATTCTGTTTGCTAGTATTTTGTTGAGGATTTTTGCATCTATATTCATCAGTGATATTGGTCTGTAATTTTCTTTTTTTGTAGTATCTTTGTCTGGTTTTGGTATCAGGGTGATGGTGGCCTCATAGAATGAGTTTGGGAGTGTTCCTTCCTCTGCAGTTTTTTGGAAGAGTTTGAGAAGGATGGGTGTTACCTCTTCTCTAAATGTTTGATAGAATTCACCTGTGAAGCCATCTGGTCTTGGACTTCTGTTTGTTGGAAGATTCTTAATCACAGTTTCAACTTCATTACTTGTGATTGGTCTGCTCATATTTTCTGTTTCTTCCTGGTTCAGTCTTGGAAGGTTATACCTTTCTAAGAATTTGTCCATTTCTTCCAGGTTGTCCATTTTATTGGCATAGAATGTTGCTTGTAGTAGTCTCTTAGTATGCTTTGTATTTCTGCGGTGTCCATTGTAACTTCTCCTTTTTCCTTTCTAATTTTATTGATTTGAGTCCTCTCCCTCTTTTTCTTGATGAGTCTGGCTAATGGTTTATCAAGTTTGTTTATCTTCTCAAAGAAACAGCTTTTAGTTTTATTGATCTTTGCTATTGTTTTCTTTGTTTCTGTTTCATTTATTTCTGCTCTGATCTTTATGATTTCTTTCCTTCTGCTAACTTTGGGTTTTGTTTGTTCTTCTTTCTCTAGTTCCTTTAGGTGTAAGTTTAGATTGTTTACTTGAGATTTTTCTTGTTTCTTGAGGTAGGCTTGTATAGCTATAAAATTCCCTCTTAGAACTGCTTTTGCTGTATCCCATAGGTTTTGGATTGTCGTGTTTTCATTGTCATTTGTCTCTAGGTAGGTTTTGATTTCCTCTTTGATTTCTTCAGTGATCTCTTGGTTATTTAGTAACTTACTGTTTAGCCTCCATGTGTTTGTGTTTTTTACGTTTTTTTCCCTGTAATTCATTTCTAATCTCATAGCATTGTGGTCAGAAAAGATGCTTGATATGATTTCAATTTTCTTAAATTTACTGAGGCTTGATTTGTGACCCAAGATGTGATCTATCCAGGAGAATGTTCCGTGCACACTTGAGAAGAAAGCGTAATCTGCTGTTTTTGGATGGAATGTC